ATGACGAACCTCAACATTTGGAAACAAATGTTTTCTCAAGATTACTTGACTTAAGCGCTGCGAAAATACTCACCATAAACAAAAAATGCATTTAGGTTCACGGACAGAGACACCGAAAGCCACATACGTAGAAAGAGTTTAACAAACTACCGGTTCATAACGAGTATTTGGAGTATATATGTGATACTGTTGTTATGTGTGGTACGCGAAACAGCTACTAATTGCTCAACCGATTGACCGAAGACCTCGAGGAAGGTCAAGAATGACTGATGACAAATGTTTCGGTGGATTCTGCTCTAAATTTTCGTTACAACGTTCGTTGAAGCCCAGAGCATGGCACAAGATCAGAAACGTTTGAAACAATGTCGGACGCTCCTGTCTATGCCACGGGAAAGGTTAAACGGTTATCGAAACTGGATGACAAACTATAAGGGGCGGAAAGTGCTATTCGCCACCTGATCTCAGAAGCTCTGCATTAACAATGAAGTGCTGAGTAACAAGTAGTCAATCCATGATTATTACTATTCCGATATCTCATCATCTAACCGACTGTTATGTTCTTCACTACTGATTAACTTTATTAATTCCATTATCCGCACTGCTCGTCAAGTTAACATCCCAAGTGTGCCTGATTTTGATATACATGTAATGATACAAAATATAGATATGCATATGTACTGTTCATATATAAAATGACATATCATCCCTCGCCTTAAATGCTATGTAAAACTATAGGCAAACAATCACAAATGTACCTGTGACACTCCGCTGAAGAACACTCCAACGGCAGATAGATACCTCCAAAATGTATCGGTGACAGTGCCTCGCCGCCGGAATTTTTAAGTACCGTGTCGGATGCAATAACAATCGGTCGTCGGAGGACGTGCGCCAACGCAAATACGTGCAACCCCTCTAGACTTTCATAAATCACCTCCGTGCCTTCGGAGGCAACAGCGCTGTCCACGCCGTTGACGGAGTTCCTGAAGAAACAAAGTCAATGAAGTATAAATACTTCTTCAGCCTCTACTTTACTTTATTTAAGATACAAATAATAATTAGTTCTTATCAAAATTTAAACAATACAAAAAGTACAAAAAGGCTGCTAGGAGAAAAAGCAGCAGAGATTACTTCAAAGATAATAAAAAAAAGCCACATGAAGAAGATTTCAAATATCTGGATATCGCAGTAATACGGTTGCAGGAATGGAAAAAAGCACTTCATGATTGGTTGCAATCGGACACCAGTTTCCTTGAAACATTCATGACCGCCTCATTTGTAGCACCGCCGATTTTCAGGGAGTTTATGGAACAGTGCTGATTTACTTTTCTGCGCCACAAGGATGAAGTGCCTTGCTCTAAAGGCAACAACAGCACGTACAACTACGTAAGTAGAACAGCGTACACGGCATCTTTTGAGTTCCCTTCCATCTAAATGGTACTGTTTCTACTACCTCAAAAGGGTGAAAAGTGAGTGACCAAATCGAAGGCTGAAATTCTGATTTTTCGACTGAGACCTCAACGCTCACTGGAATGAACCATCATATTCCCAAAGATCTGTTTAATGATATGTAAAATTAATATCATATATAGCCTACAGAAGAATATATGAAAACCATATGGATCTCGTGCGACACGACTGCGATGAAAGATTACGCAAAACCGTCAGGGATCGACAGTGCAACCCTGTTCGCTCAAAGAATCACCACAGACATGTCTCAACGTGCATTTCTGATGGCTAAATCAGCCATGAAAAAGTTCGACGTAGCTATGTAAATATGTACATGCACAGATGCAACCAACGGCAGTTTTTTACAACGTTTCGCTCAGGAACAACACCAACCTAAAAATAATCAATGTAAAATTACTTATTCGAGGTCTGATCTTGAACGTTAGATGCCGAACAGCTGGCCTTGATCCGCGGCTTTGCCGACGCCAAGTTGACCAAATTTTCCCACTCACGATTCCACTCCTTTTCGGAATAAATCAGACCAGACTAAACGAAACGACAGTCGCTGATTACGGTAAATAAATAAAAAAAGAAAATTTTGATTAAATATCAAACCTGTTAGCAAATTTAAACCACCCGAGGAAAAATGTGTAAAACTCTTTAGACGAATAAACCATCTCAAAACAGAGTATGGATCCTCCTCCATTACATACCTCTTTGTTTTCGCGTGACTGCTGCCATCGCCAACGGCGCCACAGTGCGTGGCGACGCACCCCTTTGGTTAGCATCAGATGCACGGCTTTCCGCAAAATCAGCAGTCGGTCGTGAAAACCCCACATTCCTGCAAAAGCAGTAAAAGCGGTGAAACCCATCGATCGAAAACAGCCAGCGGTCAGTGAAAGTGGCCGACCGGAAATTACCAAGCGACGCGGCGTGCAGTAAACAGTTTCCATCGCCCGACGTGGACAGCGGCCACAGCTTCTGGCAGTCGCATTCCTTTGACCACCAGTTAAGATGACCTAATCGAACAAACACCGCTTTCACTGAAGAGTATTTCAACGGATAAAAAGATTTCTTCATGTTTTGAAACAAAAATTATTGAATCAAAAGATGAAATGAAAAAAACGGACGATCGCTGTCTGTAAGTTGTATAACTGCATACTGCTAGTCTCTGGTAATGGTTCGATTACAAACTATATGATTACCTGTCATCTTCTGTTCAGAGACTAGACGTATGTTTAGCTTGATGTAATATTTTTTTGGGGCTCACGGTTCTCGTGGGAAAATGAGTCTGAACTTTGTCTAGCGTATATTAACGTTATGCTCACTTTGTGGTGTTCTTTCGAGAGAGAGAGAGAGAGGAGGGGTTAAAATACCACTTTTTTCAAGCAGTCAATTATTTTTCAAACGTGATCAAAACTGCAATTTTGGTGTTGTATGCTATTTTTCAGAAGCGAGGGCCGATTGACGATTTGCTTCATGAACCAACTATTAGTATTCATGGCCTCGAATGATATTCGTTAGCCACCGGTAACATCAACTCACCAATGCTTCGATCGGCTAGAGCATTTTTTTCCTGCTAGTTCAGTTTCCATACCTTGGAACAACAAAATTAAAGATCTGAGAAATGTCGGTTTCGTGGAAGGACTGAAACTGCCACGGCGGCATATTTTTGAGTCTGGTTAAGCAGTTCTTGATGTCCCTCCTCGCTGACGAACCTCCATCCAGCAGTCACTGCTTTCGACCAGTGAAAGACAAACTGTGTGGTACCATGCTGAACACAACTCAAATAAGCAAAGTTATTCACAGAAGACCAAACTGGCGCTTTAAGGAAATCTTAAAGCAATGGACGAAAATGAATATCATTCGTGCCACAGGACCACAAGAAGTAGCGAGTTTTGTCGTAAGTGAATGGGAGGATATAAACTTTGTGTTATTATTATGTAGTACTTATGAACTAAACAAATAGCTGCTACTTTTATTTTTGAATATGGTGGCAAAATGAAAAAAGGTCGGCTTCGAACCATAGTGGTGCCGAGTTCAAATGTGGAGAAGGAATAATCTTTGTATTCAGCACTAATTCATTTGAGCAAAAAAAATAACCCAACGTTTCCGAAGCGCAATCCGCCGAAAAGCGGGCAGCAAGTCGTTGACTTGTGAACAACATGGGCAACATGGTGTTCTGGTTTGATCGCGTATCAGCATGGGCGAAATACACGATCATGCAGTTCTATGTGAGCCCCCTAGTGGCCATACTTTAGTCTGATCCACCTTACACCTGATTATCCAATGCAGCAATCAGCACATGCTGTAACCCTTGTCTCCTGAAAAACTAGAATTATCAATTGAACAATAACACGAACAGGGAGTACAAAGAAAACAGACATGCAATATCTGGAAATGGAATGTTTTGTTTCTGCGTGTGTTCACCGTAAAATAACATAAAAGCAGCTTATAAATAAAAAAGGAAACATTATGAACTGTCGCATGATAGATGATTGCATTGAACTGTGCATAAAAAACTGTTTTTCTGCTGTTTTGATAATAAAATAAAAATAAATTATCATGTTAAATCTAACTGCAATACGTCTATTTAAAAAGTTGAATTTGAACAATTCAATCGTGTAAACAAATGAAACATGCCATGTATTTCCATCAGGTTGGAAACATAAAATACTGAGAACAATCACATGACCTACGGAACTTCAGGAATCGAAACCACTCGTTGTCTATTATTTACCTGAGAGTTCCAACGAATGAAGAATCGAGCTTTCGATGAGGTCGTTTTCGAGGAACTTTCTGAAATCGTCGTCAAA